GAATTGGAGTATAGTTTTTATACTGTCACACAGCTGTATCTATCCAATTACTGGTATATTTCATTATATCCTGTCATGCATTAACGCAGTGATCTCACCCCATGTAAAAACACTAGACTAAATCAACATAAATCATAAAAGCTGGAGACATTAGAGACTGCTGACAACCTAAGGCTGGGGAATTGTAAACTCAGAGTTCTCAGCTATAAGTGTGGAAACCATACAAACGGACTCACAGGCAGTTTGGTGAGAGCAGGACTGGTAGCTTGTCTGCCAAAGGCATCCTCTTGAAACTGAAGAAGCTGCAGGGTCACTGCAGCCAGAGCCTGACATGATGGAGCATCCACCAGCACATACTGACAGACACACAGACAGGTATTTAGAAAGGAATATGAAGAGGAGAATGTTTCATCATTATGCTTAAATGCAACGTCCTGCATTTTAACGACAGTGTCGCCAAGTTAACCGTTGTATGTGTCTGTTTAACCTCTGGGATTTGGCTTCATCTTTTATATTTTTAATTTTGAATAGATACAGGACTCTTTAACTCCATTACACATATCTTGCTAGGCAGTGTAAACGCGACGGTATCCAGCATGAGACGTTTGTTTACAGTCTGAGCCGCTAGACTCGCTAGCAGGGGGCGGCGAGCTTCTTAGCTAGCATAACCAGCTAACTACCTTTTTGTAGTGCTTCCCGATCCACTGTCGCACCACCTCCAGCTGGGCTAAAGTATCCGGACTCTCCCAGAACCTAGCGGACGGACTGCTATCTTTTTTCCGGTGTGCGGATGATCCGGAGCTGGTTTGGCTCGTCCCGGGAATGCCAAGGTTTGTTCCTCCGGACATTGTGGCCATAGTAAAACGACAATATTCTCAAACGAGAGAACAAAACTGGCTAGCGCGCTCGCTAGCTTTGGTGTTCTCGCGTTCTCTCGCGAGACGTGGCGCGATTGTCGCAGTTCGGCAAAAGGTTTTTTTTAATTTATTTTGTTCCCATCTGTCTTTCATTTTCTACTGTTTTATTATTTAATTATGCGCGTTTTTGATCCAGTGCTATTTCTTTAAAATACCCCAAAGTGTTTATTTATTTATTTATTTTAAACAAGGCAGGGCTTTTACTTTGAAATGCAACAATACAAGGAAATAACAGCGCAGGACATGTCAACAGAAGTGAAGTAAAGTGACATTGGTTAGTAGCAGCTCCTATTGAATATTTTAATTCCAAGCTACCTGCTGAATAGTTGTTTGAACATGTAACGTTACTTATAATACGGTCAAATCATTTGCCGTCTGTTTATATGAATTGTTTTGTTGCAGCAGTTTCCGCTTTCGCACAGTTTTCCAAGAGACAGTCACAATGTTTTTGTTGGGAAAATCAAACTCCTGTGCAGCTGACTGTCCACTCAGCAGTTGTTGTGATTCCTTTCCGTCGCTTTCTATTATTGGATTTCTGCAAAACCGCAGACTCCACACCCTCAGTCCAACCAGGAAGTCTGCAACCACTGCGTGTCACAGGAGCACCAACTACCCAGTGGGTAACTCATTCATCTTCTCGCTTCATGTTTTTCTAGGCCCTGAGATCCTATGGGTGTCCAGGGTCTGACCACCTATGTGGAGGGGAACAAAAACTTCCTCCAAGATGTGAAGTTCAGGGACAGTCGTCTGGTTATTGATGGCTGCAGCCTGTATTTCCGCCTCTACTTCACCCACGGTTTGGACCAGCAGCATGGAGGGGACTATGATACTTTTGCATATCTGCTAACCCAGTTCCTCTCTGCATTGGCGGCCTGCAACATCCAGCCATATGTGGTACTGGATGGAGGTGAGGATGCTTTAGAATTGCAACACCCTATGAGCTTCATTTTAGGAAACTCAGCTTCTTATAAGTTTATAACATCTATTTCCTTTTCTTTCTTTTTGTGGTTATAAGGGATTGACCCCAGTGACAAGAAGTTCCCCACTCTGCGTCAGCGTCTGCAGTCCAAGATAAAGGAGGCGGACAGTCTCTCCCATGGCCGCAACGGCTCTGTGCTCCCCATCCTCACCAGAGATGTCTTCATTCAGGTCCTCATGCAGAGAGGAGTCCCATTGGTCCAGTGTCCGGCTGAGGCTGACTGGGAAATCGCATGTTTGGCTCACCAGTGGAACTGCCCAGTTCTGACCAATGACAGTGATTTTTTTATCTTTGACCTGCCAGGTGTGGGTAGTGACAAGTATCCAAATAGACCTTTGTAATGACTGATAGCGGTAGTGGTTGCTGATGCCTTACATATTGTTTATGTTCTTTGTTTTCTTAGGTGGTTACCTGCCACTCCATTTTTTCCAGTGGACCAACCTGAACGGTAAAGCCTCTCACCGCTACATCTCCGCTCGATGTTACACCACTAATGGGTTGTGTCGCTGGTTTGGCGGCATGAACCGGGAGTTGCTACCCTTATGTGCCGTCCTGGCTGGTAATGACTATGGCACTCCAAAAGATGCTGAAACCCTCGTGGGTCTGTTAGATGTGAGTGCAGTAGGGAGAGGTGGTGGCAGGGGTAAAGGTAGAGCACCCACTTCCCGCATTGAGGGCTTCCT